ATTTTGCACTTAAAGATCCAGTCGGTCTTTAAGTGTACTTTAAGTTGCATAGTAAGTTTAGTAAAGACTCCTTTTCGTCCTGTGGTCATTATAGCTAATTCTATATCTGGCATTCTTAGCCCTCCATGATCGTAGCTACCAATAAGAGTTCGACGCTTGATTTTATCCTTTCCGTTCAAGACAAAGTTAAATAAGAGACTATTAATTTCTTTTATTATATGAAGATCAAAATGAAGCAACGATGCGTAGTAAAGGATTTTAGGGATGGCAAACGATTTAATAATTTGTATTTTTTCCTAGTAAGGTTAGGCCTCCCCATTTCCATAGCCTGAACAGTCTTTTAAGCTTGCCCAAAGTAGTTTCAAAATTGTGTTTTTTAAAAAGAATATTATAAGTCTATCTTAACGGTTGCCTTAATTTCTTCAATTAGTAAATCCTCCGGTGAAAAATTTGCTCATCCCAGACAAAGAACCTCTGTCTTGTCCAAGCTTATTTTGAGACCAGACAGGAAAAAAACTTGACAGCCCTCATTACTTCGTGAAAGCTATTCACGTCCCTGACAAAGTCGTCAGCAAAGGTGACTGTTTTAATTTCTTCATCTCCTAGGGATAGAGCTATAATTTATCTATTCCTAATATGTGCTAGGAGGATTTCCAGCACAAGTATAGATAGTTAAGGGGAGAGAGGATCGCCATACCGTACACCCTTAGAGATATTGAAAAAAGGTGAGGCCATGCCGTCATTTATTATGCAGCTTGATAGGTTTTTATCAAAACCTTTAATCCATGCGATAAGAGAAGGACCAAAATTAAATTCCGTTTAGGTTCTTACTAGAAACTTCCAGTTGACTGAATGGAAGGCCTTTTCAAAATCAATATTTACTAAGAGTGCTTCTATATGACATTATGATGACATAATGTTATTTACATGTAAACAATTCAAAGTGAAGAGGTATTACAATGGTTTTACATAATCATCATATTAAATCAGCTTTAATTTTCAATTTATAGGTTGGCTGTTATATACGCAGTTGAACAAGATAGTCAAGATTTTAGTTCTTCATTTCAGAGAAATGCATGCTTCTGCTGCTAATAAAACGACCATTTGGATCAGTTATCCAGACATGAATTTTTCTGTTTTGAATTTATTTGTTAACTGGAGGCTGGCTAAGAACTTATGGAGAATTCACTGCATTATACATGCTAGGGCATTTCTGAATAATGATTGTGTTGCATTGTGTTTTACTTTATGCCTCAGTGAAGTCTTCAGAAGTTCATAACTAARTCTTGTTAAAAGAAAYTGCATAGTTGAGAACACTTCTTTCTTGGCTTTTTGTAAAAGACACATTTCTACTGGTCTCTTATAGTAATGTCAAAAACTTATCCAATAAAGTATGTTTACGTTGATTTTGAGTTCTATTTATCTTGAAATGTATATATCATTACCATACTTTGCATGAATAAAACTGTTGAAGTTATCATAAATCATGATATGGTGACGAAGGCCTGTTTTGGATAAAAACTAAGATACTAAATACAGCGGTTTTCGTATGAGTGGGAAACTGATCGTACCGTACCGTAACTGTATCGTAACCGTAATTTCTAAAAAACCATTCGAAATTCCTGCCGTACCGTAACCGTACAGTAATTATTACGGTCAGTTTCCCACTGATACGAAAACCGCTCTAAAAAGTTAAACAGTAGCATGATGCATTGCACTWATATTTCCAAGAAGTTCAAATATGTGTGATTTCATGTTACAATTCATCCAATAACAGGATAAGGAAGCAATTTATTTAATGTTAATGTCTTTGTAAGATAAAATGGTATAAAAATTACAATAMGTTTTGTGCATTAAGTCATTTTAAGTCTCAATGAATCCAAATAATTTATATAAGAAAGTGTTGCAAATATCAATAATTTATAACAACACTACATGCATAAAGTCTAAAACAGTTTTTTCTTCTCCTTACCATGACCAGAAAAAATCTTCACAAGCCTAGGTGTAACCTTTCTCCTCGTTACTGAGTTTGAAACTTCATTCATAATGGGATCGGAGCAAGTAGAACAGCTAGCTTCAGAGACCTTTTCATTAMCACAGAAACACATTTTATCTTCACTAACTCTTTTTGGGACAACACTTTCTAGGGCAGCATGGTATATGTGTGTGGATTGATTCCTCTTTGGAAGATACACTTGACAGACATGCTCATGTCGGAATACCTGGAGCCATCTTTTTGAGTAATTGGAGTTTGCTAGGTAATTCTTGATATGCACATGCTTTGATTCTCTTCCATGTGTTGTGTTGATTCCCAGTCCTGTACCATATTTCTTTAAAGTAATACATGCATGAAAGGGCACCACAAATCCAACTGTCCATATGTCATTGGTTACCTGAAAAAATAAACTGTGGACAGTGTAGTATTCCTGGCAAGCAAGCTCTAGGTTTTTCAAATCAGCATTTGTGAACTTATACATTGAGAACAGTGAGACAGCTGTTCTAAGACGGACACCAATGTATGTCAGAAGAACAACTCTTGTTCTACTTAGCTCATCAGCTGACTYTTCATTGATAGCTTTAATCAAATGACTAAATCCATGAAGGATTAGTTTTGAGTCCTTCCCTGTAAAACGATAGCTGAAATCTTTGTCCTTCTGCCTATCATCATTGAACCACTTCAGTRACTGCTTATGTAGTCTGTCTGCCTGTACCTGGCTCTTGAGTGCATTGATGAACTTGTGTAAASCACATGCTTGGGGAATCTCACTAAAGGAACACTTATCACTAATATGTGATCTTTTCAATGCTTCATCCATCAATAGTGAAAAGTATCTCTGTACTGAGTTATTTTTTAGATGAAGAGGATCAACAAGTTGCCTCTGGCACAATCTGCCTATCAGGGGTACAAATTCCTGCCTGGACTTAAGACTTCTTATATAGGTTGTTACCTAAAATAATATTGTTAAGTCAGTAGTGTTTCACAATAAATAGAGGATATTAYATGGGCGATATCAATATTATCTTTGAGTATTCRATTGATATCTCACGAGTKAGCTAAGTGAACGAGGTGAGATATATCAAYATTGAGCACAAGAAGATAAAATTTGTATCTCCAAGCACCATGTAATGTTGTGTTAAGTGTTAACATGGTATTTTCACTATTTCGTGCTAGAGATTTCCTGTTATTCATTGATGTTTATGTAATAAATCAAATTAATTACATTTTGTGATGTTGTTCACATTTTTACCAAACATTCACTTGCATCTACATCAGTGAATTATGTTAAATAGTTTGATTCTTAGGCAGTATTACCTTCTTCCTTTTACTAGATGTACTTTSTTTTCCTTTCAGCTTTGCTTTGAATTTTTCCACGTTTGATGCATCMTTGATTCTSTTTTCATAATTCCATGGGGACCACGTATCTCCTTTTTTACATCCAAAAGAACCATTGATRTTGTCCTTATCATCTGCTGATGCATTGCCAAAACTTGAAAAATATGTGGCCGAATTTGACAGTTCCCCATTGAGAAATGCCAAAAACTTCATATCACATGGTACGAGTTCAAATTGGAACTTAACTGTTTTATCACAGACTACATAGTCCTTTTTCTCGATGAGTTCTACTTCCTTTGAAATAYGTTTTGCATACTCTCTGACAACAGAGTGTGTTTCAGAGCAATTTGCTCCAAAAATCAGATGATTGTGGAATGGGCTTGCTATTTCTTGACCAACATTTAAAAAACTTATTAGCCAGGCAATCGATTCATCATACTTCCCTAGGGGGGCACCGTCTCCACCGATGGCAATTAAAAATGTCATTTCATTACCAAACCACACTAGCTTATGRGATGTTGTCAGATAAAATTCTGCTAGCATTACAAGTGTTTCCTCAAGATCTCTAAATACCCCATCTACTTGTTTCTCGTCAGGRAACTCTTTACATAAATCTTTTACATCCTTCAGACCTGACACATTAATTTCTTTTATTTTGGATTGTASGGTATCATACTTCAGTAAAGGTGGTATGGGTATACAATCACCAAGTTTAATGTGCTTTTTTCCATGATTCCCCTTTGCAGTTAATTTTCCAGAAGATTCCATTGTAAGGACTGGCCGAGTTGAAATATACTTTCTCTTTGAAGCTATCCGAGATGCATATAGTACTCCAAGTGATCTTAGGAAATTTGTTTTCACCCTTGGAAAAAAATTTTGATTCCTGCTTGACCTCTCTTAAAGCCGCCTGCTTCACTCGTTTTGATTTTGTTGCATATTTTTCAATATCACTTGTTTTACTATATGCATTTAATGTTGAAAACAAACCATCAAGGGCAGGTTTTACATTGTTCTCATCTCCACCGTGAATAGCCATTGCTGCTTGTAATGTTTCACTATGTCTTCTTGTAGTGGATCTTGCTGGCCCTTCTACTTTACCATCTTCATTAAAAGTTGTTGGTGATTGTTTCCTTCTATTAGCAGCCGTTTTGCATTTGGATGAAGGGAAGGACTTCAAATTTGTCATTATTTCGAGTAATTTTCGAGCCGCCATTAATTTGAACTGATCTGACCATAATCCTTTGCAATCGAAGTTCAAAGCGGAAGTGATGTCACTGACTTAACCCACGAACGAGGCTACATTCACATGGCTAGAGAATGTATACAAACAGAGCGACATTCCTACAACAACGTAGATTTTTAGATATAAAAACCTTTGATTCATTACAGCCTTTTGCACAAATTAT